TCCAGCAGCCCTCGGTCCTTAGCGCTTCCCCCAAAACATCCTAATTCTCCAAAGCCCCCATTTCTTTCCATTATTCCAGATACCACTAGACTAGGCATGGCGAAACAAAAGCTGGGGGAGAGAGAGAGGGAGAGAGAGAGGTGGTGGAAGGGAGAAGAGGAGAGAGGAGGGGAGGGGAGAGAGGAGGGGGTGTGTGGGGAGGGGGAACAAAGAGCTGGGGAGGGGGGAAGAAAGCGAGATAGAAAGATAGACCCACCCCTAAGCCCCCCTCCCCAAGCACCCTGTAACCTGACTCCCCTCGCCCCAGCCCCCGGGTGGGGGTGGGGGAAAAGAAGCAAAACCAAGAAAGCAGATCTCCTCTCGCTCCCGGGTGACGGGTGGGGTGGGGGGCTGCGGGCCCTGGCCCCCACCCCTCCGCCTCGGACGCGGAGTGTCTACCCTCCGCCGAGCAGACGCCCCCTTAGGCTCCCGCACCGAGCCCCAGTCCCGGAGCGTTGCTCAGTGGCCCCCAATAGAGCCCAGCCCCTTCCAGCGCTCAAACTCTTTTGTTTTAAATGAACTGGATGGAGCAGCATGGAACTGACGGGAGGGGGGCGCGCCGGGGGCGCCCGGGGCATGCCGGGAGTTGTAGTTTCCTGCCCTCGGGCGCGGGGACGAATTCGGACAAGGGGATGCGCCCCTTGGGTTCTGCCTACCGCTCGCGGGCAAAGCTCGAGTGGGCGGGGAGTCGTGGTCCGGGAATTTTCAGGAGCCGGCGGTATGCGGGAAGGGAGCGGGCGTGGGAAGACGTCGGTCCCCAGCCCCGCGGGTCCCGGGCCTTTTTCTTATGGTAATGAGGACCGGGGCGGAGCGGCCGCGTGGCTGCGGTGTCCTCCCTCCTCCGCGCGCGATCGCGGAGTCCACAGGCTCAGGCCTCAGGGATAGCGCTCGCGGAGCAGACAAAGCCCGCGGGCCGCTGTGGTGGGAGGAACGAGTCCCTGAGCTGCGTGGGGTCCGGGAAAGGGCGTTGGGGTGGAGGAGGTATCCCTGTATCCCTGGTAGAGGATGGGGTCCCCTCATCTCTTAAGTAAATCATCCCCCTCTTCCAGCCCCCCAGTTCCGGGATTTCAGAGGCCGCGGCTTGGGAGGTGAGTTAGTTCGCGCCCCCGTGGACCGTGCAGTTACCGGGTGAAGAGGAGGCGGGGAGAGAGAGGATGGGGGTGAAGGGCTGAGCAGGGAGCCTGGAAGGGCCGTAAAGGCTTCATGTGACTTAGTTTGGGGCCTAGAACTTTGGGTGTAACGGTGTGAGATTGGGAACCCAGAGTTTGTTCATTCCTGAGCCACGAATACAGTGGAGGTCATTTGCTCTTTAGGACCCTCATGCCCGCCTCTTTCTTTCATTAACCAGCAATTCAGCCCCTTTGACCATAGAAATATGTAGAGAGAGATCAGAATTAAGTTTTTCAGACTTGACAGATAGTTTAGAGGGAGTTGGGTTATACTGCAGCCTTTTCTTCGTCTCTAGCCTGTATCTTCAGCTTTTCCTTTGTCCAAGAGAAGGGATAGGACCGCATATAGAGGCCTTGAGGTCAAACTCTTAAGAGCCACCTTCTCCAAACTGGATATCAGTAAGCAGGTATGCCCCCGGTGTGTAGGATGTCTTTTTTTTTTTTTTTCCTGGAGTGCCTTTGGAAACAGAAATCTGAACTAGTCATGAGGTAAAGTTTTTTGTAAAGATAGGGCAGTGAATTGAGGTAACCTCACAGATGGCACAGCGAGGCCAGGAGGCTAAGTTTAGGCCCAGTTCCTAAACTAGTTCTTGGAAAGAATGAGTTTGCCCATCAGTGGGAGGGCTAAGTGGTGGGAGGGTCTGAGGGTTCATGCCTAGCAGGCAGGCTTTTCCCCTTCTATGAAGGAGACTCCTGAACAGAGGATCTGGGAAGCTGAGTTAGGGAGGAGCTGCCCTGCATGGAAGATTGAACAGATTACCAACACATTTTATGGGTTGGATGTCCATGCTCACCAGCAGGAGTGGAAAGAGTGAACTGCAGAGTGGGCCTCGTCTGACTCCTGTCACCTCCCTACCCCAGGAACCTGTACTAGTGCTGGGAACATGGGGCCAGGTCATAGTGGAGCCTCCAGCTGTTTTGAGCTTTCCTGTCTCACTGAAACAAGATCCCCCTCTAGAGTTTGTCCAGTCTCTGCCTTCTTCCCCACTTAACCAATTAAGGCAGGAGGTTAATGACCAAAAAAGCCTTGGGGGTTTGGTCAGGAAGGAAAACAAAGGGCAGAATCTTGAGTGGGAAGTGGGTGGCTGTGAATCTTGAGTGGGAAGTGGGTGGCTGTGAATCTTGAGTGGGAAGTGGGTGGCTGCGAATATTGAGTGGGAAGTGGATGGCTGCTAAAAGAGAAAGGGACAGACTAAAGCTGGAGTGGGCAAGGTGGCACCCCCACGGAACCCCCCATGCAGCCAGGATGCATCAGTCCTCAGGGTGTCTTAGTACCCCCCCCCCACGGTCACACGCGGTGATTCCAGACATCCTCCAAGGCAGAAGAGAGCATATGCTAGACTGGCACTTGGAGGGTAAGGTATGTGTGGACTCAGGTGTACCCCCAGGAACAGGTGTCTGCAGAGCCACAGGTGAAGAGGAGCTGTGGGGGCAAGAAAACTGCTCTTGCTCCTGAAGCTGAGGTCTCCTTTGTTCAGGCTAATGCCACCCAGCCTGGGCTGCTGTGCATGGGTCCTGCTTAGCTTTCCATCCCTGCCTCTGTGCGTCTCTATTCGTGTGTCTCTCTCTCCCCTCTTCTATTCTCCTCTACTGTCCTGACTCCTATTTTCATGCTCTGGAACCAAAGGACCTTGTTGAGTTGTTGAATTGACTGTGAGCATCGACTACTTTGGTGTATTTGTGTGCATGTATGCATGCATGGGTGCAAGGCAGGACAGGTGGCCCAGTGGGACAAGGTCCCAGTAGAGGCCCGAGGACAGGAGTGTGGTAGAAAGTGTATATTGTGAGACCCGTTTTTCTGTCTACATAGTAAGTACTAAAGTAGAAGCACACACCTAACACCGGAGCCCTGGAGAGAGAGGGAGACCAGGAAGTTGGTAGGGAAGCCGCACCAAGCAGGCTAGCCTCAGTCTGTCCTGGTCAGTTCAGCCTTCCTCCCATGCTTTGTGAGGTTTCTACTTTCCTTTTTATTTTTATTAAATTGTATTTCATATGTATATCATGGCTGTGCATGTGCCACAACACACACATGAAGGTCAGAGAACAACTTGTGGGAACGGGTTCTGTCTCTCTTCTCCATGTGAGTACTCAGGGTTAGCAGCAAGTCCCTTTATCCACTGAGCCATCTTGATGGCCTTTTTTGTGTGGTTTGGTTTTTCAAGACAAGGTTTCTCTGTACTGTAGTCCTGACTGTCCTGGAATTCACTCTGTTAGAACAGGCTGACTTGGAACTCACAGAGATCTATCTGTCTGCCTCTGCCTCTCTGCTGGAATTAAAGGCATGAGGCAGGCTTGATGACTTTTTGTTTGTTTGTTGTTGTTTTGTTTTTTGAGACAGGGTTTCTCTGTGTAGCTTTGGAGCCTGTCCTTGTACTTGCTCTGTAGCCCCAACTGGCCTCAAACTCACAGAGATCTCCCTGCCTCTGCCTCCTGAGTGCTGGGATCAAAGACGTGCCCCACCACCACCCGGCATCATATTTTCCTTCCTTAATACCTCATGTTGGAAATATCCCTAGATATCTAGCCTCTGCCTCTCCTGCTGAATGTGCTGCTAGTGGTCTCCTTTATGCTGGAGTGCACTCAGTGTGCTAATTTCTTTAGAACAGTTTTTCAGTATTTTTTTGGAAAGAGAGAGAAAGGTGTGTATGTGTGTGTGTGTGTTATGACACACATGCAGGAGACCAAGAGACAGACTTCAAGAAGTTCCAGGGGTTGAACTCAGGTCCCCAGACTTGGCTGCAGGCTCCTTTACCTGTGAACCTTCTTGCCGGCCCTCAACTTATTTCAGCTGATGAGAATATATTGGGTAAAATTCTGCATTCTGTGTAAAAGTGATTTCAGACTTGATCCCTGCTCTCATGAAATCAGAAACTCACCTACATGGCCAAAGAGGATACGTGTGAGGCCAAACCACCATTAGGGCTTGAAGAGCCACCAAAATTGGAAGGCAGGGTAGGTCATTGGTCCCTTTGTCTCTCTGCCTGATCTCCCCAGAGCAACTCCGAGGGGCTGGGGTGGAGCCTGGGCCCCCCAGGACAGCTGGCTAACAAGGCTCCTCTGGGCCCTGGCATGTAGGAGGCAGTGACACAGGAGCTGTGACAGTTGGTCCTTGGATCCCCACCCAGTGGCGCCAGCTCTGGTTTCCGCTGCATGAGGGAGGGGATTAGTTGCCCTCCTGGGACGCAGAGGCAGTAAACATGGCTCCCTGTGAGGACTTTTCCTCCCCGGGTGGAAGGCTAGTTTAGATGCGAGGAGGGTTTTGACCAGGATGACTTGCTGGACGTGGTGTGTAGTGCAGACAGTCACCTACAGGAGGTCAGAGCAGAAGGCGACTGAAGAGGCCGACCCTTTCCCCTTTGCAGAGCACATGCAGCCCAGAGAAGGGGTTCTATGACTCCCTTCTGCCTCCTAGACCATTCTGTTTCCTTTTCAGACAAGGGAAGAGGAAGAACCATCCATTTCCTGAAGGTCTTCTTCTTAGACTCTTCAAACTTTAATCTATCATTTTATTACATGTATTTAATGTGTACATGTACTGTATTTATCCTGAATGTGGAGGTCAGAGTTCCTCTCCTCTTGTGAATGCAAGGCCGTATGTAGGCTTGGCAACAAGCTCCTTTATCTCTTGGGCCACCTCATCTGACCTTTGATATTATTTAATCTTCATAATTCCATGGAACTGTAATTTCTATCTGTGCTTGACATAAAGATATCCACGGCTCACAACAGCTGGGAAGGGGAAACTCCACTGTTCAAAATTAGAGTTGTGTGACCCCTGCCCAGAGTCCCCAGAGGTAGACAGTGCCATTCAGTGCTCGGAGACCTGGGAGGGAGTGACATTTAAAGCTGGGGCAGTTTGGGGAGGTTTCCTGACTGAGGTGGGTCTGTTGGAATCACTGAAGGAGTGAAGTCCCCAGAAAGGAGAGAAGTGGGGAGTGTTTCTAGAGGCTGTGTGGGAGGTGGCTGGGGAGGCTTGCTTTTACTCATTCTGGGAAGCACTGAGTATATGTGGACACCAGGTGGCGCTGCAGGACAGTCTCCTCGGCCGCCCACTGCTCAGGCTGCCAGGGGCCCAGCTCTGCCTCCGTGTGGAACCATTGCTCTGTGCTCTGCCCTGCACAGATCAGATTTTGTCTCAAGCCGCAATCCCACCCCCACCCCAACCTCCACTCCCGTTTTTAACAGGACATTCAACACGTGGAATCAGGAGACTTTGATAGCAGTCTATTCCAGATTCTGAATGGAAACCCTAGGTAGCAGAGACCCTCCAGCAATTTACCCTGCCTTCTGTCCAGTGACTTCCTGAGCCCCTTGGAGACTCTGTTCAGGGGAATTGTGAAGTTCAGCTGGCTGGGTCTGCAGGGAAATAATAACTACCTATAAAGATCTCAAATTTTTCATCAGTGAGC